TTGTGAAGATACATGCACCCCTATGTTCATGGCTGCATTATTTACAATAGCCAAGATATGGAAGTAACCAAAATGTCCATACATAGATGAATGGTAAAGAAAATATGGTACATATACATAATGGAATATTATTCAGCCATAATAAAATAAATCCTGCTATTTGCAACAACATGGATGGGTCTAGAGGGTATTATGTTCAGTGCAATAAACCAGGTGGAGAAAGACAAATACCATATGTTTTCACTTATTTGTGGAATATAAAAACAAAGCAAAACAGAAGGAACAAAACAGCAGTAGACATAGACACTGAGAAGTGACTTGCATTTACTATGGAGGAGAGGTTGGAGTGCTTAAGTGGGGAGGGCCAGGGGGATAAAGGGGCACAAAAATTCTCTATCATAATATAAGTTGTTCACAGGGATAGTGGTACAGCATGGAGAATATAGTCAATGATTATGTAACATCTTTCTACATTGATAGATAGTAACTGCACTAGAAGGGTGAGGATTTAATAATATGGGTAACTTTTGAGCCGCTTGCTCTGTTGTATATTTGAAACCAATACATAATTGTATATCAATGATACTTCAATAAGAAAGAAAGAGAGAGAGAGAGAGAGAAACCCACTAGCTTTAGGACTACTGTCAAGAAAGGACAGCAGAATTGCCAAAAAAACTACCTATATATTTTACTGACTTGTTAATTCAAGGAGGTGATGAAGGTATTATACTAATTTGACCAGGAAAGTTCGTAGCACTAATCCCAACACAGGATCAAATGAGGACACAGAAAAGAGGTTTGTGTTTTAATATTGAAATGTATATTTAATCATGCATATTTGAGAATTGTGGCATTCTTTAAGCTTTTTTTTCCCACTGACCATTCAATAAATCTGTTAGCAGACTCATATTGTTTTACTTCTTCTATTACTGTTTTCCCTATAAGGACTGTTCTTAGAATGAAGTGGCATTTATTACCTTGGAATTGGTTGTCAATTGGATTGTATTATGACAAACTACTGCTGTAAACCTATTCATTGTGACTGCCAAAGTGTTTGTGTATGTTGGGGGGAGGGGAGGACAGAGGGCCTATTCTCATGAAGCCTACAGTATAGTGGATGAGATAGATATTTATATAATAATTACACACATTATATAGAATTTCAGCCATATTATAGGCTATGAAAGATAAGTACATGAACTTCCAGAGTTTGTAATGGACATTGTTGAGTCTGTGATACTTGAGATTTGAAGAATTATTAGGAAGTTATTAAATGAAGGATAGAGCATACAGGCTGAGGAGCCAGCAGGTACAGGGTCCCTGTAGTGGAAAGGAGCATGTTAAGAACTGAAAGAAGGTCTGTAAGGCTGGGCTGCAGGGAGGAAGACAATTGGTATAATAGGAAGAAGCAGAGATAGATAGGGACAGAACCATAAAGGGCCTTGTAAGCCATATAAGAATTTTGTTTTTTATTCTTAAAACAACGTAAGTGGTTTAAATGTGTGTGGGTGTGGGTGTGAGAGAGAGAAAGAAATTTGCATTTATGAATCATTCTGTGGAAGGATGGATGGAGAGTGGACAAGAGGATCAGAATAAATATGCAGCAAAACTAGTTTAGAAGCTATCACAATAATCCAGGTGAGAAAATAATGATAATTTGGATTTAGACGGTGGCAGTGGAGATGGAGAGAAATGGATGGATTTGAAAGATATTTAAGAGATAAAACTGGTAGGACTTGTGATGAATTAGATATGGGGGATGATACAAAAGGAAGATTGTCAAGGATGATGCTTAGGTTTCTGTTAAGTACAAATGGATACTGCTCCTATTCACAAGAAGAGAGATAAAAGGCCTAACATTAATGGGGGAAAAAACATGAGTTGTGTTTTGGCTTATTATATAGAAAATTAGATATTTGGGTCTGGAACTCAGGGCAGGTATCAAGGAAAGTGCTATTATTTTTGACTTCTCAACATTTAAATCCACCTATGTTTGGAGAATTTCTTACCTAAGTAGTCTGAGAGGAAGAAGAGATGGAACATGTTGCGTAGGCTTCTCCAATCAAATGTACCTATCCCAAATTTTGATTTGGGAATAAGTGATACAAAGAAGTGCGTCCTAGGAAGAATCCCCTCCAGCAGTGGTGGCAGCTGGAATAAGATCAACTTTGTAGGGCGGTTGTGGTCGTAGTGGTAACAGAAGTATCTTGTGCTAGTGGTAGTGCTGTGAGCTGCAGCTTTAGTGCTTGGTTGTGTTGTCTTCACCAGCAGTTCTATGGTTTGAGTTTGGGCATGTCTCCTTGCTATATTGCCTCTGAGACTAGCTATTCTGGGGATTTTATGATAGGCAGTACCCTTTTAACAAATTTTGTTTTTTGCTTAAATCAGCCACTATCAACTTCTGTTGTTTGCCACTAAGGACTTGGATTGACCTTAGCGGTCTGGGTTAGAGATGCACATTTTTAAGTCTTCTGTATCATGGTTGTATTGGAAACTGTGGACAGGGATGAGATTATTTAAAGATGGAGTGCAGAATGAGAAAAGGCCTAGGACTGAGCATAAGGAATTTATAATATTTAATGACTGAGTAGAAGTAGATGAGTCTGAAATAAGACATAGGTAAATTATCAAGGATAGGAGAAAAATCTGATAAATACTGTCTCTTAAAAGCCAAGGTGTTGGCATTACTGATTTTCACTTTTCATTTGAGGAAACTGAAGCTTAGGTTAGAAACTTGCCCAAAATTTTGACTTAACAAATGACAGAACTAGAAGTTGAATCCATATCTGTCTTAACTACAAAGACTGTTTTATAGAGTTTATTGGATGAATACAAGGGATGTATTAAAAGAAAGAAATCAATAAGACTTTGTGACATTATTTATAAGAGATAAAAGGGGTAATGAATCACGTAAGATACCAACTTCTCATGTATTGATTTTTGGGAGAATTTCTATGCCACTGAGGTATGTAGAGCGAATTCAGAGTGACTTTGAATTTAGATCAGATTGAACCCAGCTTGATAGAAAACCATGTAAATATAAATACTTGGATGACTCTTAGATAATAGAATAGGAGTGGAACTATAGATTTGGGAAGTTATAAGCACAGAAGTGATAGCTAAAGTCATCATGGTTTAATCTTAAAAAAATGTATAAAAAATGATAGAGTTAAAGAAAAAGCTTTGATAAGAGTTCATAGTTGAATAATGATGTAAGAAGGAAGAAGTAGAAGCCAAAATCAGAGGGGTGGTAGAAGAGTGGAAGAAGTAGAAGAGAGTAGTTTCTTGGAAGTTAGAGTTGTACAGAATTTCAATTGAACCAAATATGGAGGAGGGGAGAAAAAAAGAAGGAGTAATAAGACTTAGAAAGACCATTAGAATAAAAACATTTATTGATTATTTGAGAAAGCAGTTAAATGTGATGGGGATAGCATTTGAGTTGAAAAAGTCAATGGGGAAAGAGTTGGAAGGAATTGTAGGTAAGAGACATGCTTTCTGTTGGATAAGTTTAGCAATAAAAATCTGCATAAGAATGGACAGCAGATTTATACAAAGAATTTCTTCAGATTCTGATTTGCATGCATATGGCAAGAGGAGAAACTGCTAATAATAGGCAGTGAGAGATTTATATAGGGGTACTTTCCTAGAAAATGATTTGTCAGGGTAAATGTTTACCTGAGTCAATGCTCTATAATTTTTCAAATAGAGCACTATATTTCATTGTGGGATTTAGGAGAGAATAAGTTTATCATTTAAAACTCTCCAGTGGATGGAACATCTTCATCTTTATTGCTTTTCCAGAATGGGTTTTTGGAACGGGATAGGTGGTAGTGGTGGTGGTGGTAGAACTTAGCCATATTTTGTGAGAGTAATTCACAGCTATGCATGTGAATTTAAATGCAAATAAATTGATTTTCAGGTCTCAGGTGGTGTTTCTAGGTTTCCACAATTTTTCATAAAATCTACTGTTAGGTGGAAGGGGATTAACTCTTTTGACCTATCAAATTCTCCTGACAGTCATAGCAATATTGTGCCAGGAAGATAAATAACTGCAGCCTTCATATTCATTCTCTCATGTCTTCCTAAGAAAATGTGGTTAATAAAGGACAATTATTCTTATACTATCCGTAACTAGAAGAATAAAGCCATTTTTCTAATGTCACCAAACTTACATTAGCTTTGATGGCTTGCTACCGTTAATATTAATTAGCAACATTACTTCACATAATAAAATTGGATGTGCATATAAAATCTGAGGTACTTAAAAACTTCTGATCATTTCTTTTTCATTTTAATAATTTGAAACAACTTAGATTGTGGTGAATTGAGGCAATTATTCAGATCACCTAGTGTTAAAAACATTTTCACCAGAAATATACCAATAATTAAGACAATTTGGGGGCTAATTTATTTAAATTATTTTTCTCCACTCTCTTTTCATTTAGGATAGGCAGACCAAAAGTCTTAAGAGCATAAATTATCTAATGACAGCATTCTGGACAGAAAATGTGCATTTTGTTTGAAACTAAACAAGGGAGTCACTCTCAAAATGTTTGTTGAATGAAAATGTATTTGAATTCTTATGCTTGCTTGAGAAGAAGTGTTGAAAAATGCTGAATGCAAAATTGAATTCTGATGATTGATAACAGTATTTTTTTGTTTGTTTTTTACTGTCATGTTAAAGTTAATATTCTATTGCTGTTTCCTAAAACATTTTTTAAACTGTTATGTTACAGGGGAAATGAATAGTCTAAAAAAACACTTGTCTTCAATGCAACGGGAGAACCCCTGACAGACTGACTCCCTGCTGGTCCTTTCAGTGCTTCTCTCTTGACCCCAGCGCCTCCTCTGGGTTCTAAGGCGCTCGTCCACGCTTCGCCCTGGGGAAGGGGCGGTTCCCGCAGTGCTGGTCTCGCGTGGAGTCCGTCATTCTAAGCGCGAACTGCCGCGCGCGCCGCGGACTTCGCGGGCCCGGACCGGGCGAAGCGGGTCTCCGGGCTGTCAGTGTCGGGATCTGTCGTTGCGTCCCCAGCGCTTGGGACCCTAAGTGGAGTCTGGGACCCGGGAAGGAAGGGGTGGACGTTTGGGTGCCAGAGGGTCTGTTAAGGTGGGTGGGAAAGAGAGCTGTGTGTGGCGACTGCAGGGCAAGCGGCTCTGAGGGGGCGGCGGGCCTGTCCCCACAGTGCGACCGGAGGCTTCCAGGCGCTTGACGTTCCCCTCGGCACAGCACCCGGAGCTGTGGGGGCCGCCGCTCGGCTGGAGTGCTGAGGGTGGTCCGGTGAGGGGAAGCTTGCGTCTGTGAGAGGGTTAGTAGGCGCGCGAACTTACCCCCTTTAAACGCGCGGCCAGAATAGCACCTGGAGCGCGCAGGTATGCGAACCCTGCCTCAGGCGTATTTTGTAATGTGACTAGGCTGTTCTGTGAAAAACACTTTTTGGATTCTTGGTGGTAAATTCACAAATGTAAAATTGCACTGTTCCTGTAGGTTTTACCTCGCTGTTCGTGAAGCTGTTAGGAATCTTGCTGCTAGTAATAGTACACACGCAGAGAAAGGACATCTTCAGAGGTCTTATTTTAAAGGGCATATCATTTTGAGAAATCTGGGTATCAGTGGAGTCCAGAATATTCAATGATTTACTGAAGTATCACTTATAAACAATTAAGAAGGCTTCCCCCAGCAGTTTCAGTCATGCAACGACATTCAACAAGTATTTACTAAGTGCCCATCAGGGCTATGCCCAATTGTGAGTCTCTCTCTCCTCACCAGTTTTTGCTCCACCCATATTTTTCTGTACTAATGTTGCAGAATATATGCTGTTTCATCTATGACTTCAGAAAATCTTTATGAATGTTTTCTGCTGTGTTTGTTTTAACATAGTATCCAGGATGAATGACAGCCTGTTTGTCAGTTTGGACAGACTTTTGCTAGAATTTGGTAGGTATGAAATGAAAATAAACTTTCAAATACCTAGCTATTTGTATTATCATTTGACATTTTAACAATGAAGTCACAAAAAACATTTATTTTAGTTTTCCAGTATGAGCAAGATGTAAGTACTAAAGAAGATATGATTCAACGAATTAACAGTAAGTAATAAGTAGTTTTACTTGATAAATATATTTTAGTTTTTAAATTTTTTAATGGCATGTGAAATAATATGCAGTTGCCTCATTTAGGGTTTAGTTGGCAGTACTATCTGGTGACAAATAATGAGCTATTTATCCTAACTACAGTTTTTCAGTAATAAATTTCTCTATTTAGCATTTAATTATTTTGTTGAAGAATTTTGCTTTAAGCAGAAACGAACCCTTAAGTGTAGTTGAAAAAATATGTTATTTTTCTCAAGTAGCAGGTAATTTCAAACATCTGAGTAATATTTTAAAATCTTAGAAAACACCAAAGGTCAGAGGCTTTGATTGACAGATGCCACGTTTTCAGGAATAATAATCCTGAAAAATACTATTATGAGTGAAGTAGCAATGTAAATTACAAAAATATAGTGTTTTTAGATCCTACACAAAAAGTATCAGAAGAGAACCATTAATTTCTTAATAGTTCTGAAAAGGTAGAATGTTGTTGTCTTTTCTGTAACAAAAAAAATACAGAACATTAAGAATTAATTTTACTCTTTGTAAGAAATTGCATTTTATTTTTATCTTGTATTTATTCACTAGTAAAGAAATAAGTGAGTTGGAAGTGCATTTAATAATTGACATGGAATTGAATAGAAATTTCACATTTGTTAAAAACTTTTTTTATTTAAAAGAATGCATGTTAAAGATTTTAAGTCATTCAGTGAGGGAATCAGTCAGATAGTTCTGCTAGTTCAAGAAAAGTACAGTTTGTCTGAGAAAAAGAATTACAAATAGAAGCAAACCATATTTTTCCACAAGGAAAGGAGGAAAACAGTCAAGCCTCTATCAGACCAGAAAGAAATTGCATGTCTGTCAATTACCTGCAATGTATGCAGTTGTAAAGTAATTCCCATTGAATCATTTCAAATAAGCTGATTCAAAACAGATTTTTCTCTACAGACAACGGTCTTGGGAACATGGGTGGGATTATGGAATTTTCTTTAGTTTACTTAATGTAATTTTTTAAAACAAAGATATCCCACCCAAATTTTTAAAGAGACCATTGCAAATCACCTTTAAATATTAACATTCCCTGAAATGTTTAATAGGTGATTTGGTTTGCTGGCACATTTTAGAAACAAATGGTTAAAGTGAGGCATACCTGGCTCCTGATTCTCCTGAACTTTATGAAACACCATAATTGATCTGCATATAGTAAAAACCCAATGGTATCTCAAGTTAGTAGTCTTCCTCTTCCCATTGATTATTCAATCCTTCTCTTTCTCAAACCTGGGCATAGAAACTATCTGTACTTTATAAGTCAATAAATTCCAGAAACCTAGGTGATTACAGAGGTAGCAAGCTTCAGGGATAAAATTCCACTGACCCTCTTTTCCCATGGAGTTGGAAGCTCAAAGGCCAGAGTTATTGCTGCTGGACAGGACTGGGCCTGGCTGGGGCTGAGGGCAAAGTAGCAGCTGCTGCTTGGGCACCTGCTTCTAGGCTGCCTACTGCTCCTCCTTTCTACAGTCCACTGCTCTGTCACCCAGATGCTGTAGAGCTGCACTAGCCAGGATACCATATATGGCCATTTAAATTAAATTTAAAAATCCAGGTCCCAGTTGCAAGAGCCACATTTCAAGTTCTCAATAGCCACATATGGTGACAGGACCAGACAGCACAGATATCAACAATTTCCATCATCACAGAGAATTGTTGCACAGCATTGCTATAGATGACTACTCCTTCCCTTCACCTCCCATTTCTCTGCCATCTCTTTTTCTGCTTACCAAACGTGATGCAAGTAAATCAAATGCCACCTCTGACAAAGACTCTCTTTTTAAAAATATTTATTTATTTATTTATTTTATTAAGGTCTAATTGATATACACTCTTATAAAGGTTTCACATGAAAATCATTGTGGTTACTACAGTCACCCCTATTATCAAGTCCCCCCAACACCTCATTGCAGTCACTGTCCATCAGTGTAGTAAGATACCACAGAGTCACTACTTGTTTTCTCTGTGCTATACTGCCTTCCCTGTGACCCCCCCCACACCAAGTGTGCCAGTCATAATGCCCTTCAATCCTCTTCTCCCTCCCTCCCCATCCACCCTTACCCACCTTTCCCCTTTGGTAACCGCTAGTCCCTTCTTGGAAACACTCTTTTTGACCAAACTTTCGTTTTGCTCCTCTGAGGAGCCTCCTCTCTTTCTCACCTAGGCCTTGAGCTTCCATGTCTGTCCCTGCCGAATCTACTTTTAGCAAAAATCCCAAATCAGTTCAGAGAGAAACCCCCACCCTTGATACCTGCTTAATCCCAAATCTGCTTCTAGGAACAATCCTATTAAGTCAGTTTAGCAAGAACTCCCCCTACCCTTGGTATCACCTCTTAGTAATTTCCCATCCATTGACCTCTTCCTTCTACTTGATGGCTGTAAATCCCCACTTGTCCTTGTATTTGATGTTGAATACAATCTCTCCCTGCTATTGTAATGTTCCTGTTGCAATAGTCCTGGATAAAGTCCTTCTTACCATTTTAACAAGCTTCAGAATAAGCTTCTTTAAAAATAAAACTCTTTATGTTAGTGTCACATATGAGTACGAGTAAATGTTTACATGAACTCATAGAATCATAAGATGCCATTAATCTTAGATTTCACTTAATCTAGCCCTCTTACATTAAGGAAGAGGCACAAGGGACATTTATTTATTTTCAGCCCCAAACACAAGTCCTTAGCTTTAGCATCTAGAAGCAACTCTGGCTCTGGTTCTGAGCTTTTTAATATAGGGCCCTTCCCAACTCAAATGTCACTTCCTCTTCATCCTCTGGCTCTCCTCCTTTTAGTTAAGTGGCCATACACCTTTCTGATGTATTTCTTTATTTTGAATTTATGATTTCTACCTTAATAAAATCAATATTTCTTCTTTCCAGAATGCTTTGAAGATATTAAAGAAAATAAAGCAACTATTTGTAAGATACAGGAAAGTATAAATGCAACAGATGAGGAAATTGGCCATTACTATAAACATAGTAAGGTGATCAAAGACAACTGTAGTAAGTGAGTATGTGAAAGAAATGAACTTTCAGTAATTGTCACTAGATTCTTTAACTCAGTCTTCTCAGTTTATAGTTGAAGACACTTTTACTTTAAAGTAGTATTTTATATTGGCAAAATGATGAATCAAGTCTTAAACTGTCCTGTTACATAGATGTATAAAAAGGGGTCTCAGAGGGTTCAAAAGAAAAATAGAAGTAAATGTGATAAAATCTCTCTAATTCAGATACAATTAGCCTAAATATAGAATTCTGAATAATTTAGGCTCAGTATATAAAATTTCTATTATAAAAATAAATTTGAAATAATTTGTCTTTAAATTTTCAAGATCTTGTTTTTAACTAGGGGAATCTAGCCTAAAATTAGTAGCTTTTTCAAAATAAAAGTATTCAGTATGTTAAGAATTCTTTCAACATGGCTTCAGGTTCTGGATTCTAGTAGTTAAATCTATTATAAGACATAAACATTTGAAACAAAGACTTGTTTGTGAAACTCAATTGTATATTAGAAATACTTAGAAAAATAAAATGTATTAGTTTTCTGTATTTAATTTTATGTGGACCATTGTCTTTGTATTAAATACTGTACATTAGAATCATATTTAATTTAAAATATTTTGTTATTCAAACTTCTAATAAGCCCTTTTGGCTTTTCCCTCATAATTTTTTTATACTGGTTTTAAACTTTTATAAAAGTAACAAATATTTAGTATAAAAGTTTAAAAATTACGCAAATATATGGAGTAAACAGTTTTTCCCTGCCTGCAGTCCCCACCCCTACCCTGTCTTTTTCCTTATAGGTAACCAATCTTAACAGTTGTGAGTATTCTTTCAGACCTTTTCCAATAAATATTCAACATCATTATTGCATATACTTACATGCACATCTATCTATACATCTGTCTTTCCTTTTTACAAAAATGCGATCATACCATACTTACTCTTCAACTTGTTTTTGAATTCTACTAATGTGTAACGTAAGTGGAAATATATATGTAATGATTGTATATAGATGTCATTCTTTTTTAAAACAGTCCATAGTATTTTATAGTATTGATGTATCTTAAGTTATTTAACCATTCTACTGTTAATAGACATTTATGTTGTTTCCAGTTTTTCCCTATTAAAAGCAACATGTACAGGTACCCTTCCACATGTATAGACCTATTGCTATAGAATGAACTCATAGAAGTGAAGTTGGTTAATCAAAGAGTATGCACATTTAAACATTGGATAGATAATACCAAATTGCTCTCCAGAGAGATTTTTACTAATTTATACTCTTAACAATGGATGAGAGTTTCTGTTTCCTTACAACCTTGCTAACACTGGAATTATCAATATTCAAGTTTTTGAGCAATCTAATCAACAAAAACTATATGCTGTTAAACTTTTATTTTGACTTAGGTTTTGGTGTAGTAGATATTTTCCTTAACTAGCTGCAATGGGTGCTAGAGAAGTACTGATAGTTTCCCCTCAGGACCTGTTGTATGCAAGATGCACTGTATTTAATGTTTGCTGAGTTCTGAAGACCGTAGGATATATTGATTTTAATACTATGAATGCCTCGAGTTCATGATTGCAGTATGTTGGTTAAGAGATTTAAATGTGAAATATGAATTCATGAAAGTACTAGAAGAAATGTATAGTTGACTATATTATCTTTGAGAGAAGGACTTTTTAAGTGCCAAAGGTAGAAATCACAACTGAAACAATGGATAAATACAGATACATAAAATTAAAAAGAAGAAAACCCCAAAATATTATAAAAGGCAAAAAAGATAAGGTAGGAAAAATATCAAATACGGGGTAATTAAAAAAATATAATGTACTTGTGGAAATTAATAAGAAAAAGAAAAGGCCTCATTAGAAAACATGGACAAAGAAGGTAAAAAGGTAAATACTAAAATGAAAAAATGCATGTCTAATGCTCAATCTTACTGTTAGTCAAAGACATCTAAATTAAAGCAATAATAAAATATTAATTTTTTGCCTTTAAGTTTTACAGAAATTTAAAGAAAGATTATATCCAGTGTTGTTCAGGGGGTAAGAAAATCAGCTCTCTCATATACTATAGGAATATACACTGGCATAAACCTTTTGGATGACATGTTAGTATACTTTAAAAAGCTTTAAAAATAAGCATGACTTTTGATTAAACAGTACTATTTGTGAGAATTTTTCATTAAGAAATAATTAGGCATTCTCTGAAAGATATACAACAAGGTGTTTATTTCAACTTTTTTTTTATGATAGGAAAACACTGGAAGCAATTCTACTGTTCAGCGTTAGGTGGTTGGTTAAATGAATTTTGGTATATTCACATAAGTGAAGAGTAGGCAGTTAATAAAATTATAAGTGTATATTTATTGACATGGCAAGATGGTACCAGTATATTACAAATTGAACAAAGCAATAAAACTTTTGTAGTATGAAAATTTAGTAATTATACATTTATATATGATAGAAAAAGTCTACAAATATGTACATCAAAATGCTTTGAGTGTCTTTTCAGAGAACATGGATTTCTTATGTAATTTTGTTAAATACTCAGAATATGTATATACATATAACTTTATAAATTACATTTTGGGGAATATTTTCTAAGGAAATTAGAAATTCAGACAAATATTTAAGTACAAATTCTGTTTACAATAGAGAAATGTAGATTAAGCACAAATGGCCAATAATATGGGCATGGCTAAATAAATTATGGAATATGATGTACATATTACAACCTTTACAATATAATTCTTAGTGACAAGGAAAATGTGTAGAATTTAGAAGCAAGTGATATAGGAAGATATGTTGTTAATATGTCAGTATGATCTCAAAGATGTTAAAATATTTACTTGTAGTAAAATCTGGGAACAATTTATTAAAACAATAATAGTAGTTATTATTCAATGTTGAGAATATGGGTGATAGTTATTGTCTTAAATATACTTTTCTGTGCTCCCTGAGTGGGCATGTATACTTTTTGAATCTGAAAAAATAAAAAAGATTAGAAAAAAGAGTTAGAAGAAATATTTCAACAGTACTAAGAATGAAAGCTGCCTTGGTGTATGCTAATTTTAGATTTTTCATACTGGCATATCTATTTTTATATTTTATTTTTTACTACTTTCCCCCCCAGCTTTATTGAGATTTTATTACTGATGTAATGAAACAAAAACTGTATAAGGTGAATACTTGTTTTAGTCTTACTGTCTGATTTTTAAATAAATTTTGGTCTAGTTTCCTTCTTTTTAGTTCAGGAGGGTATAACAATCTGACTTTCTAAGTTTCAAAGGAGAAAAAAGCTTTCTTGGTCCTTATTCTAGCTCTTTGTATGCTTACTCCAAAAAACTGTTTCTTATCCAAGATCTTAGAAATATGATGAAAAAGAAAGCTTGATGTTGGAGTGTTGCAGAGTATATTATAGAAATGCCATAGCCACACACAATCCAGCTATGTCACATTTATTCTTTTCTTAGTCATGGATCCAAAACAGGTTTTATGAAAAAATTAATGGATATTAATATCTGAGCATATGTATGATTGCATGAATGGTGCTAGTTGGGGGTGATGGGAGGTGGGAATATTTTTCTTGATGTAAGCTTATTTTATCCAGGAAAGGAAAGATCCCTGTATCTTTAAATGGTTACATTCATTTATATTATCTCTTAAAAAATTTGTTTACCATTCTAGGATGCTAGTTACAATATTTTTTTCTCCATAGCTGGAAGCCAACATGTGATGTTTTCCATAAACATGAAGACTATATGCAGGACCAATTTACTGTTTACCAAGAAGCTATTGAAAAAGACAAGTATAGTGCATATGTTAATTTAAGCTATCATTTCTATAAATTAGTATTAATAGGATATGCTTTGTAAAATGTTAATTGGAAATGTAGAAATTTTGCTGAGGGAGTTTTTTTTTTTAAGCAAATCCAGTGTTTCTGACTCTTTGGGTGCCATTGGAGGCTTACGTATTTCTTATAAAGCTCTATCAAACTCTGTGTATATTTAGGTATGGCCTTAAATAGAAACAATGTATCAGTAGCAATTATTATAGGAGAGTGCTCCAATTAATGGTTTTTATGACTAAGTTGTTATAGACAAACATCTGGAGAAATAGCTTTAGAATTAGCTTATGAAAAATTTGGAGTATTGGCTTTTGAAAGGTATTTTAAATCAAACTTGTGTTTTTCAGATTGCTAATTTAGTGAGGTGTTATATTCTAATGAAGAAATACCAATTATTTATGTGTGTTTATTTTATGTGTAAAATCACATGGTCTTGGGAACTAAATGTAATTAGTTAACATAATTAAAAAAAGAGAAGGACTTTGAACACATACCATTATAATTTCACTTAATGTAAGAAATTGAAATGTTTTTTAAAAGTTGAACCAAAGCAGTATCTATTTTTTTATACAAACACTTTTTATTGGAGAGAATTTTAAAAAGCAAGAGTAGACAGAATAATGAACTCCCGTGTGACTGTTACCCAGTCTGTGATTCTGCCCCTTCCACCCCCTCCATCCACTTTGTCCCTTTGCCTGTACAGCATTTGAGGTGTAGCAATGTCTATTTTTATATTTTAGTTTTTACTGCTTTCACCCCCAGCTTTATTGAGATATGCTTGACATATAACATTGTTTAAGTTTGAGGTATGATTTGATATATGTATATATTATGAAATGATTACCACAATAAGGTCAAGTAACACATCTTTCACATCAGATAATTTTTTAACTTTTTTTTGGTAGCAAGAACATTTAAGATTTATTCTCTTAGTAACTTTCAAGTATATAGTGCAGTATTGTTATATTCACCATGCTGCATAATAGATACCCAGAGCTTATTCCCATATAACTGGAAGTTTATACCCTTTGATCAACATCTCCCCATTTCCTCCACCTCTCAGCCTCTGGCAGCCACCATTCTACTCTGTTTCTATGAGCTCAGCTTTTTCAGATTTTACAAATCAGTAAGATCAAACAGTATTTGTCTTTCTCAGACTTATTCACTTAGCATAATACTCTGAAGGTCTATCCAAGTTGTCATGAGTGGCAGGATTTCCTTCCGTTTTGTGACTGAATGATATTTCATTGTATATTTACACACCACATTTTCTTTATCCGTTCACATGTTGATAGACACTGAAGTTGTTTCCAAGTTGTTTTCATGTTTTAGCTATTGTGAATATGCTTCAGTGAACATGGTAGTGCAGATATTTCTTTGAGAATAGCAATTTCATTTCCTTCCAATATATACTCAAAAGTGGGATTGCTAGATCATGTATGGTCATTCAATTTCTAATTTTTAATTATTTAAAAATATATAACTGTATTATTTTCCATACTGGCTGAACCAATTTACAATCCCATCACCAGTAACCAAAGGATGCCTTTTCTCTACATCCTTGACAACACTTTCATACCTTTGATAACAATCATTCTAACAGGTATGAGGTGATACCTCATTGTGGTTTTGATTTTCATTTCCCTGATGATTAGTGATGTTGAACATCTTTCCACAGACCTTTTGGCCATTTATATGTCTTTTTTGGAAAACTGTCTATTCAGGTCTCTGCCCATTTTTAACTCAGGTTTTTAGTCTTTTAGCTTGAGTTGTATGAGTTCCTTATATATTTTGGTATTAACTCCTTATTGTATATATGGTTGGCAAATATTTTCTCCCATTCCACAGGTTGCCTCTCTGCTTTGTTGATGGTTTCCTTTGCCCTGAAGAAGCTTTCTTAGTTCAGTGAAGTCCCGTTATTTATATTTGCTTTTTTGCTTGTGCTTTTGGTATCATATCCAATATATTGTTGCCAAGATCAATACCAAGGAGATTTTCCCCTCTGTTTTCTTCTAGGATTTTTATGGTTTTAGGTCTTCTATTTAAGTCTTTATTCTGTTTCAAGTTAATTTTTGTGAGTGGTGTAAGATAGGGGTCCAGTTTCATTCTTTTGCATGTGGATATCCAGTTTTGCCAGCAACATTTATTGAAGAGACTATTCTTTCCCCATTAAATATTATTGGCTTCTTTTCCAAATATTAATTGACTGTATATATATATATATATATATATATATATATGTTTATTTCTGGACTCTTGATTCTATTCCATTGGTTTATATTTGTACTTTTATGCCAGTCTGTTCGGTTACCACGTTTTTGTAGCATGGTTTGAAATTAGGAAGTGTAATGCTTCCAGCCTTATTCTTCTTTCTCAGGATTTTTTGGCTGTTTGTGGTCTTTTGTGGTTCCATATAAATTTTATAATTAATTTTTCTATTTCTGTGAAAAATTCCATTGGAATTTTGATGGGGATTGCACTGAACCTATAGATGGCTTTAGGCAGTATGGATATTATAACAATATTAATTCTTTTGATCCATGAGCATCGACTATCTTTCCATTTATTGTATCTTCATTTCTTTTCATTGATAGCTTATAGTTTTCAGTGGACAGATCCTTCACCTCCTTGGTTTAATTCATTCCTAAATATTTTATTGTTTCCGATGCTCTTACAAATGGGATACTTTTATTTCTTTTTCAGATACTTTATTGTTACTATATATGAATGCAACTGATTTTTATACATTAATTTTGTATCCTGAAAATTTACTGAATTTGTTGATTATTTCTAACTTTTTTTGGTGGAGTTTTAGCATTTTCTATGCATAAGATTATGTCATTTGCAAACAGAGACCATTTTACTTCCTCCTTTCCTATTCAGATGCTTTTTATTTCTTTTTCTTGTCCAATTAACCTAGCTAATATTTCCAGTACTGTGTTGAGTAGAACTGGTGAGAATTGTACTCTTATCTTGTTCCTGCTTTTAGAGGAAAAGTTTTTAGCTTTTCACCACTGAGTAAGATGTCAGTCATGGTCTTTTCAAATATGGCCTTTATTATGTTGAGGTATGTTACTTCTATATCCAATTTGTTTAGAGTTTTTATCATGGGAGGGTATTGAATTTTGCCAAATGAGAGAGGATCATATGATTTTTATCCTTCTATTAATGTGTATCATTGTTTATTGATTTGTGTATGTTGAACCATCTTTGCATCCCAAGTATGAATCTCACTTGGTCATGGTATATGATCCTTTTAATGTGCTGTTGAGCTCAGTTTGCAGGATTTTGTTGAGAATTTTTACATCTATATTCATTCATTAGGGATATTGGCCTGTAGTTTTCTTTTCCTGTACTGTTCTTATCTGGCCTTAGTGTCATGGTAATGATGGGCTTATAAAATGAGTTGGATTATGTTCCCTCCTCTTCAGATTTTTGGAAGAGTTTGAAAAAGATTGGTTTTAATTCTCTTTAGATGTGTGCTATAATTCATCATTGAAACCATCCGGTCCTGGAATTAATCTTTGTTGTGAGGTTTTTGATTACTGCTTCAATCTCCTTGCTAGTAATTGATCTGTTCAGATTTTCTATTTCTTCATGTTTCTGTCTTGGTAGGTTATATTTTTCTAGAACTTTATCCATTTCTTATAATCTAAGGTCCCATAATTGTTCATAGTAGCCTCTGATCATCCTTTGTATTTCTGTGGTGTCTGTTTTTCTTTCATTTATTATTTTGTTTGAGTCCTCTCTCTTTTGCTTGGTTAGTCTCGCAAATTTTGTTTTATCTTATCAAAAAACCAACTCTTTGTTTATTAATTTTTTTCTATTGCCTTTCTTTTCTCTATTTCATTCATTACTGCTGTGATCTTTGTTTTTACTCCTTTTTGCTAACTTTGGGCTTAATTGTTATTTTTCTAATTCCTTGTGGTATAAAGTTAGGTTGTTAATTTGAGACCTTTTTTTTGTTGTATCCCATAAGTTTTGGTATATTATGTTTTCATTTTCATTTGTCTCAAGATACTTTTTGATTCTTTTTATTTCTTCTTTGATCCAGTGTTGTTCAGGAGTGTGTTAATTTCTGTGTATTTGTGAATTTTTCCATTTTTCTCCTGCTATTGATTTCTAGCTTTTTATCATTGTGGCCAGAAAGATACTTGATGTAATTTCAGTCTTCTTAAATTTGTTAAGCTTGCTTTGTGCTCAACATATGATCTATCCCAGAGAATATTCTGTGTGAGTGTGAAGAATGTATATTCTGGTGTTGTTTGATGGAATGTTCTGTATATGTCTGTTAGGTTCATTTATTCTATAGTGTTATTCAGGTCTGCTGTTTCCTTATTAATTTCTATCTGGATGATTTTTCCAATGTTGAAAGTGAGGTATTAAAGTCCTCTATCATTATTGTATTGCTATGTTTCTTCCTTCAGTTCTGTTAATATTTGCTTTAAATATAAACGTGCTCCAGTGTTCAGAGCATACATATTTACAATTGCTATATCCAATTGATGAACTGATCTCTTTATCATTACATAGTGGCTTTTTTTCTACATTGTGACTGATTTTGACTTGAAGTCTGTTTTATCTCATGTAAGTAAAACCACTTCTGCTCTCTTTTGGTTACCATTTGCATGGAATATCTTTTCCTTCACTTTCAGCCTATGCATGTCCTTAAAGTGAGCTTCTTATAGGCAGCATATTATTGGTCTTGTTTTTTAAATCCATTCAGACACTCTGTGTCTTTTGGATTTAGTCTATGTATGTTTATAGTAATTATTGATAGGTAAGGACTTACTATTGCCATTTTTGTTCATTGTTTTCTGAGTTTTTTCTTAGTTCCTTTGTTCCTCTCTTGCTCTCTTCCTTTGTGATTTATTTTTTTAATTGGTATGCTGTAATTCCTTTCTCTTTATCTTAGATGTATCTAGTCTAGGTTTTTTCTTTGTGTTACCATGAGGCTTACATAAAATATCTTAAAGATAATTACACTATTTTAAGCTGATAATTTACCTTCTCTTGCATAGAAACACTCCACATTAAAAAAATAAAGTATCATTGATATACTGTCTTATATTTGTTTCAAACATACAACACAGTGGTTCAACAATTACCCATATTATTAAATCCTTACCCTCACCAGTACAGTTACTTCCTGTCAACATAGGAAGATGTAGATTTCATAACTAAGAAAGTAACAAGAGACAAAGAAGGAACTACATAATGATAAAGGGGTCAGTGCAACAAGAGGATATAACCATTATAAATATCTATGCACCCAATATAGGAGCACCTAAATATGTGAAACAAATACTAACAGAATTAAAGGGGGAAATTGAATGCAATGCATTCATTTTAGGAGACTTCAACATAGGAAGATGTTACAGAATCATTGTATCTCCATGCTATGCTACTATCCCTGTGACCAACTTATATTATGATTGAGAATTTTTGTGCCCCTTTATCCCCCTCACCACTCAAAACTCCCTCCCCCATTAAAAACTATACAGTTTTTCTTTTCCCCACATTTTATGCTATTGATATCATATATTACATCTTTTTATATTATGCATCTGTTAACAAATTACTGTAGCTATAGTTAATTTTTAATATTTAGCTTTTGTACTACAGATAAATGATGTACACACCATCATTACAGTATTACAGTATTCTGAATTTGTATGTTCACCTGTACCATTGAATTTTATGTTTTCATGTTGTTAGTGCCTTTTCATTTCAGCTTGAAGAACTGCCTTTAATATTTATTGTATGGCAGGTCTAGTGGTAATGAACTACCTTAGCTTTTGTCTGGGAATGTCCTTATCTCTCCTTCATTTCTGAAGGATAGTTTAACTGGGCATAGTATTCTTGGTTGGCAGTTTTTTTTCTTTTAGCAGTTTGAATATATGATCCCATTCTGTCCTGTCCTGACAGAGAAATCTGCAGATAACATTATGGAGGCTCCCATGTTGTAATGACTCATTTTTCTCTTGATGCTTTCAAAATTCACTCCTCATGTTTTAACATTTTGATTATAATGTATCTTGGAGTAATTTTCTTTGGGTTGATCTTCCTTGAAGTCCTTTGAGCTTCCTGTACCTAATGTACATCTCATTCCCAAGATTTGGGAAGTTTTCAGCTATTACTTTTTAAAATAATCTTTCTGTCTCTTTCTTTTCTTTCTTCCTTCTGGAACTCCCATGATGTGAACATTTGTTCAGTGTTCCATAATTCATGTAGGCTTTCTTCACTCCTTTTCATTCTTCTTTTCTTTTTGTTCCTCTAACTGGCTAATTTTAAATAAACTGTCTTCAAGTTTGCTAATTTTATTTATTGCATGATTAATTCTGTTGTTGTATTCTTCAGCTCTGGGATTTCTGTTTGTTTATATGATTTCTATTTCTTCATTAAACTTCTCATTTTCTTCATGCAATATTCTTGATTTCATTAGTTTCTATGTTCTCTTTTAAATTTATTGAATTTCTTAAAGATGATTTATTTTGAATTCTTTGTAAGGAAAATTGAAGATCTTCATTTCTTTGGGGTCAGTAATGAGGCTTTATTACTTTCCTTTAGTGGTCATATTTGCCTGATTCTTCATGATCTCTGTAGTCTTGCATTGATGTCTGTGCACTTAAATGAACAAACCTCTTCCAGTCTTTACAGATTGGTTTTGGAAGGTAAAACCTACCTTTGATTTCCTGGGCTGATATGATTATCTCTAGAAGTGTAGTCATGCTTGGTTGGAGCTAGTTTTGAGGCCGTCACTGAGTCTACAGTGGGATCCGTGGTTGACGTGCTTATTACCAGAGGCTCAGGTAGGTATGGATCCTGTCTGCTCCCCTATGAGACTGCCTCTAGTACACTGTTGAGTCAGATAGTTCTGGGACAGAGGTCTGCTTCAGGTTCCACAGTTGGGTCCTCAGTCTGCAGGCCATTACCAAATGTGTGACAAATGTGATAGGTCTCTGGGAGGGATCCTTCCTAGTCACTGAATGGATTATGGGTGGTCAGGACTGGCCCTCGGTTGTGGCTGGGAGGGGCTGAAAATGAGTCTCAGGGATGTTTCAGATTCCATAGCCACGATTGAGGTCTGTAGTCCTGGCTTTGGAGGCACAGACAGGTATGTCTCCCACCAGGTCCCTTGATGGACTGGACTGCCTCCTGATGGCAGCTTAAGGGGCTCAATCTAAGTATAAGGCCCTTTCAAGATCTCCAGGGAGTACTTATAGGAGTATCTCTTTTTGAGATCCTGGACCAGCTGGTCTTCTGGCAACCTTTGCCTATAAGGGGCCTACAGCCAGATATAGGGTTCTTAGGGGATCTGCAGATGGAAGTGTCTTCCACTTTGACCCTGAACCCTCAGTACTGCTGGCAAACTATGGCTTTGAGGGAGCTGGAACCAATTATAGGGACTTTAGGAATCTTCAAGGGGTACAGACAGGAGTATCTTCTCATGGGTCCCTGTGTCAGCAGGACTCTTTAGTGTCTGTGGCTTGGATGGGCTAGAGCTCAGTTATTGGGCCCTTTAAGAATCGACAGTGTACCTGAGTTTGGCAGGCTTACCTCCAAGAACTCCTTCAATTTAACTGTGAAGGGCTGGAGCTGGTTCATAGGCCATTTCAGGGTCCACAGCTGGGAAAAGGGTCTGTGTACCTATTACCTGATCCATGGGTGGGCTTGACTCCTCCCACCATACAGGTGCTGCTGACAGATCCAAAACCAAATAAGGCTGTAGTTGAATTCTGAGGGGTATAGAGCTGTTTACAAGTCTGTAGTCAGGACCACAGTCAGTGAATTAGCTACCAGTATATGAGAACCTCCTTCTCAAAATGGCTCTCCTCAGTCTTGGACTGTACCAGGGTTTCATTGTCTCCTATCTAGATCTCAAAGTTCCCACAAAAGTAGTTTTGTCCATGGATGGATGCTACATTATTATTGTTGAGGGGTTTATATGTGAAAGGGATATTTTATTGTGCCATCTTGCTGACATTACGTCTATTATGTTTTAATTAAAAATACACACACAAAATCTAGAATACAATACCCTTTATGTTCAAAGATGGGTTTAGGAGAAGGGAGAGGCCAAAGATAGAGATTTGGACTTCATTTGCATTTGAAATTGTGCAAATAGATGACATTGCCCAGGCAAATATATACAGCAAAAGGGACAGAAAGCTAGAGTAAACAATCATCCAAGGAATAGGCAGAGGTGGGATTAGTGAAGGAGATTGTTACTTTGTCATTTATAGAACCTGCTTATCCAAAAGGATTTGAGATTATTTCTATAATACCATAGTGTTAAAAGAAAACTATATAAAACTCAAGGCTAAAGAGAAGTAAAGATAGTACAAGAAGATGAAGCCTTTGATTAGGACTGTGGGCTATACAGTCTCTGTTGTAACTACTCAACTCTGTTGTGGTGCCAGACCAACTTTAGACAAAATATAAATGAATGATTATGTTCCAATAAAACTTTATTTATGGATATTACAGTTTGAATTTCATATAACCGTATTGTGTTATAAAATATTTTTCTTTTGATTTTTTTTCAATCATTGAAAAATGTAAAACCATCCTTAGCTCCTGGGCTGTACAAAAACAAGTGGCAGGTTAGAGTTCCTCACATAGGTTATAGTAACTGACCCCTATTGTACATCAAGCAAAGGTTAAATGAAAAGGAAGAGTTAGTATCCTTTTGCAAGAATTACCCATTCTACCCAAGGCTTGTGCCTAAATAGATGACCACCAATCTCTACTTGAGTTGGACTGGAGGGATTCCTCTAACCAGTACTAAAATTTTCTTCATAAAATAGTTGCAGAATATACAAGTATGATTGTAAACCCAGAGTTCTAACACACAGAAAGGACTTCATATGATAAGTTTAGCTTAGAAAGTTGAAGGAGATTTGAAAAGCATTCTTATGGAGGTAGCTAAATTGGGGAGAGTAGAGACTCAGAACTCAGTGAGAATAGCCATTTAAGAAGTGATCAAAAGAACGAGGTTCTTCAGTGTCAAGATGAGAACTAAAATGAGCACTGAGTTGGACAAATGAGATCATTGGTGACCTGGCAAAGGTAGGAGTGGAGGTTAAATTGAAGAAAATTAAGGAGTGAATAACTCATGTAGTGTTGAAAAAGGGTAAAGAATTGAAAAGTGTGATGGAATTAAGGAAGGTTTGAAGGGCTGGCAGTATTGAGGGAAACAGGGATTAGATATTTGACTTGCTTTTTCTGCTTAATTTATTAGACTTTATTGTGATATTTAAAAAGATTTTAGATATATTCTTGTTATATTGATGTCATTTCCCTTAATTTTAACAGAAAAATGTACCATGGTTATGTATGTCAGTATAAAGATGTTCTTAAGCAATACCAACTAAAATTCTCAGAAACACCCCTTTCACATGAATATTATGAGAAGAAAAGAGAACATGAAGAAATTCAAAACAGAGTGTTGGCATGTACTGAACAACTAAAAACAAATGAAACTATTTTTATGGAATTTCTAGGTATTAACATTTTTGTTATAGTTTTAATAGTATTTTTATAATAAAATGAATGTAATAAATTAGTCTAAAATATGACTTTGTTTTTCAGTACCTGCTCCTTTCCCATCACTTACTAAATGGACATTGCATATGTATCCACAAAAGTATTTCTAATTAGAATTTTTATTACTTAAGTATTATTTCTGTATTATAATTGTTATTGTGTTTCCTTGGTGAGAATCTCTTGGATTTGTTTTTTGTTTAATTCAAAAATTTTAGAGGTTACTTTAAAGGTTCTCTAAAAGTGTTTTTCTTATATTGTATGTGATCAGAAGCAAGCAATTTTAAAGAGAATAAAGTGGTACATGTATCTGGCTTTAAGTGACATATCTTAGTAACAAAACCAATGAAAAAGTGACCTTGCTCTGTCTTACCAAAGAAAGTATTCCAATTAAATCAGTTCATTATTACTTGTTAGGATGGAAGGTGGTAAGGAGATGAATCACAACAATTCATTCATCTATAGAAATGCAATGGGTACTTGCCTTGTGCTAGGCAATACTCAAGAAGATACAGAGCATTCTTGCAAGGAGCTCACAGTTTAGTAGAAGAGGCAGATGGGTAAACAGTTCTAATACAGTGACACTGTATTAGATGCTTGAATAACTCTTATTTGTTTAAATCTTGTCTGTTTGTCGAGATATGCTCTTCCCTGATGAGGAACTTGGAACTTTAATCCTCTTCCAACCTCCACAATCCTGCTTATGCTTTCCTAAGACATTAAAAGTCTACTGTTTGTACTAGTCTTCTTTATCCTGCATTTTTCCTTGCTTCATTCTGCTCCATCCTAAATCATCCTTTTAACTCCTTTGCTGCTTGCTCACTCCATGTTTGGGTTTTAGCTTATTCTGTTTTTAGTTGTTCATTTGCTGCCCATCTGGGTTTTAACTTCACAATGGGAAGGGGCAGAGGTTGGTAGATGCAGAAGGTATACTAGGGCTTTAGGGAGTTGGATGTAGGATGGGATGAGATGGGAGATTGCATGACAAGTAAGAGGTGATGGAGGTAAGGAGAATTGAATATTAGGATTTAAATGTCTGTATCTAAAAATTTAAATTGATACTTTTGGTAACAACATAGCATTATAAATTATGTTCACCTGAAATTTCATGTTTAGCATATAAATCATATAGTTTAAGAAAACATTTTCTCTGGTATTCTTGTTCACTACCACTGTTATGTTCATTTTGAAATTCTTCTAAATGGATTGTGGAGTGGTTTAGAAAAGTATAGTAGCTAATAATCGTGCAGGATGTCTGTTAACAGCTGAGGAATTCTCTACTTGAAATTGGGTATAAATCCAGCTCACGCAGAAAGTCTAGATGGAAAGTAAGCTCTCTTTTGAGTTCTGCAGGATGCACTGATTAGTCTTAGAGAATAAGAAAAGGGAAATTGGGTGGAATCTTATTTAGTGTTGACTTTGGAATAAATAAATAATGGAAATACAGTAAGCTAAATTTGGACCTGGATTGGTTATGTGTGATTAGTTATGCCAAACAACATGATGAACTTAGGTAAAAACCAAAAGCAAAAAGCTACCCTGATTTAACTGAAAGAAAAATCCTAACAAATATTTTGAATGAAATGTTATTTTTAAGCTCAATATAGATAAACAACAAATGTTTGTCAGTTTGCCAAATGTTTATATTAATCTTACCTCTTATTTCAGGTACTGTTATTAATACTGTTTATTGCGTATATGAAACATTTTTGCTTGTATTAATCATTTCTGTTATAGTACATATATTATAAATGTAAAATATACTTTCATAATATAGTTCCTTAACATAAAAGGGTTAATTTGAGATGTAAAACACAAGATATTCTTAAACATGCCAACAATTTTTCCAAAAGTTCATCTGAATTGAAGAAAGAAGTAGATGAAGTCGAAATAGAAATTAATTATTTAAACCAGGTATATATTTTATTATATGCTTCAAATATATGTATTGACATGTAAGTGTAATGATATGTTAGTTGACAGTCTTAGAAGAGCTATTTCTAAAGAACCAAATGTAGAGAAAGGCTCGTGATAATTTATTTGCTTCAGATTACCTTTGGAGCCAAATGTATTTTATGTATTGAGTATATTCAACTTTGAGTTTTGAGGAATACTTTAATTTTCTTTGGGGGCTGAGGAATGAAGATGAGGAAAGAACAACATATAGTTTAATAATAGGAACTGAAAGACATTAAAAGAGCTAAATAGTGTCAAAAAAGAGAACAAGACATTGTAACTCCACTGTTTATACTGTCTTCTTTACACCTGCAAAATTAAACAAAATTAAAGAATTTAATTTTGAAAATTTATGACTATAATACTTACAGAGGTAGGCTAGAACTCATTTAGCCCTTAAGATTGATGGTACATGGTATTTTCTTGAACACATTTTTAGTGTCATCTATTGAAATGTGGCTTTCATTGACAAGAATGAGAATCGATCAAAGTCACTACCAAATTTTGAGAAAAAATTGAATAGTGAATTTTCTATATTTTTAAAAAAATACATTTAAGATGGTATATTTATCATTCATTGGTATGAGGTTCCAAATAATGGTATAATTTTAGTAATGAGAAGAAAGTGGATGCCACTTCCTTTAAAATATATGGTTACTATGTCTCTGTATAGGGAATCAATGTCTCCTTTTGACTGTCCTTTTTAAAAAAGTAATGGAATTTCATTGAAATCCAGCTTTGCTAATGGAGTTGTAAGGGAGAGTTAAAGTAATATTATTTGTCATTGATTTTTACTATTGTTTATCAACTTTCACTAAAACACAACTAATACTACTAAAAATCTTGTAATTACATAGAAAAATTTATTATTATTAGTTAAGATAAAGCATATATTCCTTAATGCCTTGCAGGTAATTATTTTGTTTTGCTTTGTCATTTATTTCTTTTTAGCGTATTACAAGACTTTATGAAACTAAGAATTTTTCAGAAACTTTGGAAGAAAAAAATAAAACCATAGAAAAGAGAAAGGAATTGAAAGAAAGGTATAGGTTAACTCTAAAATGGGATTTTATGTGAACAGATATCCTGCAACTAAAAATTTTATTTACATTTCATTCTAAGCCACTAATGTTTACACAGTATCTATTACTTATTATTATTACTTATTACTTATTGTTATTTATACTTTTAAGTATTCTGGACTAATACATAGGCTTCTTATTTCAGAAGGCCAAGGATACTGTGATGAGGGAAATAGGGCAGCAGTAGCACACTTGCTGTTCTCTAACTTGTCAGGTTTACATTTCATCCAGTTTCCCATGATGTGTCACCAGTAAGAGTAAAATAAGAGGAGCAGTGGTGGGATCAGCAGTGTGTTTACCTTTTTATCCTTCTTGACCAGCTCTTCCTTGGCCACAGAGAGTGAAGATGAGCCAAAATGTTACTGAATCTGTGGCATTATGTTTCCTTGTCTTTCCTCTTAATGGTGATAAAATATATATCAGTGGTGAAAGTGTTTTAAAAAAAAATATTATTGCCTGTTATTGTATGATAGAAAAATAGATGTATTACTGTTGCTGTTTTTGATAAACTTTCTACTTTTTCTCCTGCCTATACCCTTTTTCATTCTTAAATTCCTCTCCTCAAGCTCCACAGCTCTTATCCTGATTTTTCAGCACAGTCCTCTCCCAATTTCCCTGATCCCACTTCCTTGGATCTGTTATTTTCTTGATCCCCTGACTCCCACATCTCACAGACATGGTAATGGTAATGTGTCTTTAATTCTGTAATGAAATTGATCAGAAAAATAGGTAGGTGTACAGAATTTCACTTCATTGACAACTTTTTAATATTGTAAAAATTCTCTATATTGAGAGGAACTAAAATAATATTTGTTATTTAATTACCTATTAAATATTTACCAATTATTAAAATTATTTCAATTTAGGAAAAATTCAGTGAAATTATTCTTACAGAAAAACTGATAAAAGCCCATTTATGTTTGAATTATTGCTTTAATGATTCCATATTCATGCTTATGATTTGTTTATGAATAAATCTTTTTAAAGTTTGAAGTACTTCAAAATCTAAAGCATGCTATTTGTGGATGAAGTTTTGGTTTAAAATGTTTTCGACATGTTTAGAAAGTCTTTTAAAAATTATCTTTTAAAATTATTATATTTTAAAAATGAAAGTGTGGTATACTCAGAAAAGCAATGGACTTAATCAAGAAATGTGTTTTAACTGTGACACTAGGTAGTGTTTTAATAATATTGGGAAAAATCTGTTAAATTATCTGGAATTCATTTCTACTCCCTGAAAAATGAGAAGTTTGACCTAAACAGTATCTAAATATCTCTTCTAGCTTTAAGATAGGTTAATCTTTACTGAGCTAATATTTAATGTAATTATCTCTTCTCTCTAGAATTTTTGAAAAAGATGAACATTTACTTATATTGAATAAAACCCCTCAAAACAGTCAATTATTTCTTCCATATGAATCTCAAAAATTAGTCAGACCAATAAAGATGCATTCTTCAGAACCAAGAGTTACAGGTACAGTATTTATTAATTATTCAAAAGCTTAGTTTTCTTTGCAAAGAAGAAGAAATACAAGCAAGTTTACTTATCATTGGGTGTAAGTGAAAACAATTCTGAAGACCTATAGACTCAGGAAAGTACTACTTTGATTCATTCTAAGAGCAAACAAGATATGCTTTCTACACCTAACTTTTTATCTTTGATTGAGAAATCACATGATATTAAAAAAATGTTATGGTCTGGTTGCACAACTGTCAGAGGATGAACAATTATATATATATGGGAAGTTGTATTATCATTACATGTTATCAAAGTGGATAGCAGACTTGAATTAATGATATTTGTGGCTTAGAAACTGAGATTTGAATCATGTTTCATTCAGTGATCTGCAGATTAGACTAACTACATTGTATTAGATTAACTACACATTGGCTGTTTTTTCCTCTCCCATTTGTTAGTATTACCACTCTGTCCTCTTTCGTTTCCCATTATAAAGTTATGTTTTGTTAGCTGGTTTTCATTTTATATTCATAGTTATCATAATAACTATTATATAGTGAGGAATTAAGAGTTATATAATAATTTCATAATTATTTTAATTTAAATATTCATGAACTTGATTTTTTACGAAGGTAGATTAAGTAAATGTTGGACATGATACTTGATTCTCTCTCTGGAATTGATTTGAAGTTGTATGATTTCATAACCTAGATAAAGAAAAAGAAAGTTCTGTGAAGCCATCAAAGCTTGCCAATATTGACTTGAGACAAAAAGAAAATGATACACAAGTATGTATTTCTTCTTTAATAGTATAAATTAAATGCTTGCTTTCATTAAATGAGATAGTGAATGTGCTGCATTTAGGGTGTGTGTGTGTGTGTGTGTGTGTGTGTGTTAAATCAATCCTTAGTATAACCCCAGGGTTGAAAAATCTTAAAAGAGTTTCAATATGGCAGCCTCTCACTACTAAAAATAATTGAAAAGACATTTAAAACTTGCAAGCCCTGTACCTAGTACACCAAAAACTCTTCAGACATTTCTGAGGAAGGAAAACAGGATTGTTGAAGAGGAAAATTGTGACCCAGGACTTCCATAGGAGAATAATCTTGCAGAAAGTAAAGGTCTGGGGACAATGAATGAAGTAATTGGTTACTTCAGAGGAGGTTAATTCAGTTAATACCTGTTACAACTCATATCCACTTTGCCTGTGGCAGCCAGGCATCAGCAATCGGATGACTGTCTCCAGGTGGAAGCAGTGAATATAGTAGGTTGCGTTAGAGAGAGAGGTGGTACTCTGGGTGGTTATTGGTGCTAATGAAAAAGCAAGGAGCTTATCACCCAGAAAGCTACCTTCTGGTGTGGTGTTTCTCTGTTTTCCCCCGTTCTTCCTGAAAATAGTCCAGCGGGAAATTTTCAATGGACAATTACTTTTATTAATCCATAATTCAAAGAAACAGATGTAGGGGTAGTAGTGACCAGAGTAATTAGTGAAACTTATTAATTTGAAACATGTATTAATTAACAGAAATCTTAAAATCTGGTACTGAAATTCCAGATGATATCAATATGGGGAGAAAAATGAAGTAAACAAAAGTTTACTAAAAAAATTTACTCAAGTTATTTTTTTGTTTGGGGATGGAGGTATGGAGAATATATGAATACTGACTAATTCTATGTATTGTTGGAAAAATATAAATTCATGCATGCATGTTAAACATTTAAGAGTAACCAACAGAAGAGAAGTGGAATGTGTAAGTTTTAAAATGGTAGAAGAAAAAAAATGAAAAAAAGAAAACTTAATCAGTCCAACTGTCTTGCCAGTGGGTTTCAGCCCTAGACAAGTTCACTATGGATTCAATGAGGCCAAAAAATGACAGTGGAACGTTCTTGGGGTGAAAAAGGTTTATACCCAACTTTATTTCCACGGCGGCAGGTCAATCACTATAATCCCATCCACTCAGAGCGGGTCTGCATGCAGCAAGCCAGTCTGTGCCTCTGGGCCTCTCTGCCCCTGCAGCTGTCTCAGTCTTTGTACTTAACGATGCCACCGCTCCAGTCACTGCTCTCCTGCAGCCTTGCAGCCATGCAGCAGCCCAGAACACTGGGTGGAGCTCTGTATTATATAGAGTCAATACAACCTACTGCCCATACGTGTGTACTGAGCAAACAGACCAGGGCCAGGTGAGAATCCTGGCCATGGGAATCTTCACTTTCTCCACACTAACAAAAGGCAGGAATGAGGGCAGTGGAGGGGTGAGGTCCTCAGAGGAATAAACAGCTAGAAAGCATTGTAAACAGAAAACAAATAAGATGCCAGAAATAGTTCTGAACAAATCAGTAATTATAAAAAAGTGACAGAATGCTTCTATGAGATATATACAAAATTATGCTATA